GACAGGTCAGACACAGCAGGGATGAGTTAGTTAGAGAAATAGCATTCCAGGACAGAAATGGATTGATAAAATTTAATTCTATTAAGAGATCATTCCAGTGCTTAAGGGCACTAATAATTGTGTGGGAATCTGAGGCACAAAGAGATTAGCAGCAGAGTTTATTTCCAGAGCAGGTTGACTGTTGAGATGTCATTATGTAAACTAAATGTTCATGTATTAAGAAGTACTTGTGCAGTTTTGTCCGGAGGGAGTCCCAGGTGGGAACCGTGCACAGCCCCATGGATGCTTCACGGGGGCAGAACTGGGAGAATCGATCCATCCAGCAATGTGAATTTTGAAGGTTTCTATTCTGAGCAAACGGGAATAAATGCACTCCTGTGCTGCATCGGGTGCCTTACCGGGGTGTTGCCAGGGTGGATGTTTGGGAGGAAGGCGGAGGAGCTGCTGTGGTGGGTGGGCGCAGAGTCCTCCACAGGCACAGGTCCACCCCGGGCGGGGGATGCACAAGTCCCTGTTTCCCCCTCAGGGAATACCCAAAATAACGTGTGAACCCATCCCAGCTGTGCTGGTGTGGGAGTTGCAGTGGTGTGTGGATGCCCTGAGCATCACCAACCATCGCTGCTCCTTCAATTGTCCCCACCCATCGCTGGGGGATGCTGACGGGTGGGTAGCACTGCAGGAGGCCATCTGGGGTTAAGCCTAAAGAAATCCTAACTGTATCCTGCTTCTGTCCTTTGTGTTAAAATATTCTTTCTCTCTCTTTTTTTTCCCTGCTTCCTCCCCTGCCTCATCCTCCTCCTTTTCCAGCAACGTGGACACCAAGGAGCTGTGCGGTGAGTGCGGTCCCTGTCTCGGGGAAAGAGCAATCGCTGTGTGTACGTGTGCTTTCGAATGATGCATGAAACCAGTTAGCAAGCTGGTAGTGCCGTAGAGTCTGCTGAGCGGGGCAGGGGGGTGGGTTTCTCAGCACTTCTGCTGCTTCATCCCTCATTCCACAGGAAAACTGACAAAACTTTCCTTCATTTTCTTGCTATGTGAATGGGGTCAGAGCTGAGCGGAGCACCTGGCTCCCGTTCAATAACAAGATGGAGTTTAATTTCTGGCAATGTCATGGCTTCCGGCTCTGCTCTGAAGTTCAATAAACCAGTCTAGCTCTGCAGTACCCGTAACGTGTTTCTTCTTAGGCCAACCTTCGTGTTTCCCAGCAGGCTGCCTAAGGTGTGTACCACCTCTGCTGCCCCTGCCACGGCTCACAGAAACTAAAGGCTGAAGAGAAAAGCTCTGATAATGGCTTGTCCACATCTTCACCAGAATAGGAATATGCCTTTCTGGGATTTCTCAAGGGCTCTGCCTTGATGCAAGGGAACTTGTGCAGAAGGCTCCTGCTGCTTACACGGATGTATTTTTCTATGGACACTTGCTATTAGGAAACATTCCCTGTGCCCCAGCTTTTTGGGAAGAGATGGGAAGACAGGGGTGTGTGGCCTGGCAGAGGCCCCATCCGTCTCTTCTCCTCCCCTCCCATGCCAGGCTGCAGAAGAATATATAAAGCCACCTCAGCAGGTCCTCACCATTTAACTTCGTCACTTTGCCACTAATTACAGCCTTCAGAGGTCTGGCTGAGAGCCGGTTATGCAGCCAAAAAGCACCTTGCCAGGGCACCTGTGCCAGCACTCGTTATTCCCGACACTTGCAAGACCTCTCCATCCAGCACAGCCAGCGGGTCTGCCCGTGCCAGGACTTTGCGAAGGTTTTCTCCCCTCCTGGGGTACCCAATCCCTGCCCAGACCCTGCCCTTCCGGCCACAGCACCCAGCAGGATTTTGAGCATTCAAGCCTGCGGCAAGCTGTCAGCTGGTTCTCCCCACTCGTTGTCCTTTTGGTACACAAGAAACGAAGCTTTCCGTAAAATCCTTTTGGTTTGCTGATGATATGACGGGCTTGCTCCCATCACTCCTTGTGTTAGGTCTCCTTGCCAGCTGATCTTAAAAGGGATCTCTTGATCCCTGCAGCATATATGAGAAATTTGAAATGGCGTAATCCATATCAGGTAGCAGCCTATAAAGTTCTGGGGTTTTTTCCTGCCAGGTAATACAATAATCACCAGCACCTAGACTGACTTAAACGCAACTGTGTGGCTCCTTACCCCCAGAGGAGCTCCCAGTCATAGCTGGGAGCACTTAATGAGCCCAGAAAGTGTGGGTACAGCTGCCAAATTGTACCTGCCACCCTCAGTTTGAATGCAACGCAGACACTGCGTGCAATGGTACAAGCTGTCCAGAGAACTGAGATGTACTCTGAAAAAGGGAGATGCACATCGACCTGTCGCAGACTGCCGGGGTGGTGGGCCACTGCTTTTCAGGGGAGAGATGGGTGGGGGGCACCTACCTCCTCCCACACCAGCCCCAGCTTGGGGTGGTGCTCATCTCCTGAGCACCAGTCTCTCCCCAGATGTGTAGGAGGCATGAGCAAGAACCATATAGGATAGGAAGAGCTGATCTCAGATATTCCTGTGGATAAACAAGGCTAAAACAGTAGAACTGAATACTTGGGTTGCAGAAGTCAACGTCGTTCTCCTCCCAGGTGCTCCTTGGTCAGTCTCGCAGGCCGTGCTCTACCCACAGCAGTTCTTTTCTCCTGAAATACCTGGGTCCAGCTTTTTATTTCAGCACTTACAAAAATGGTTTTCCTTTACTTTTAAGATTCGCTCAGTTTTTCTTTCCCAAGTAAAGTAATAATAAGAAGAATAACACAAACAAACGTGCTGCAGTGGGAATAAGCTGTTTGGCTTATCATGGAACAGCAAACAGCTGTGGTCAGTCATGCTGTGACATTCTGGTTCCTGCCAAAATCTTCTTCCCCTTGGATATGTTCCTGGGCTGTAAATAGCTATAGGCACTTCTAATTCAGCTGAGAGAACCTAATTAGTAGCATTGTTTCCTGGAGTTTGTGTCTTGTTGCGTTCCGTAGAGATGTCACCTCGGTGTGAAGCGTTGTGTCTCCATGATGAGGAACAGTGCCAGCAGCTTTTCAGAAACAGCTTTTAGCTTTTAGTCTGTGTCACTCGCCTCACCGCCACACTTCACTTCCCTCCGTTTCCATTGTGAATGTCGAATTCCAGGACTCCATAGCTCATGCATGAAACTGCACTGGGGCTCAAACGTGCCATGGAGCCATCGGCTGTGTGGGGACGTGCCAAGTTTGGCTGTGATTTGCATCAGTGCAGAGCGGCTGGGATTGCATTTGGCTGCTGCTGGAGCTGCAGTGCAGCCTGGCGCAGATCACCTCTGCTGCAGGAGGGTTGAGGACGGCACGGAGAGAGCCATCCATCTCCATTGCTGTGGGGAATATGTGCTTTTGGGCCCAGCTTGCAGCTCCATTCTCTTCCTTTTGAGGTGTATTTTGCTCTCAGAAGCTTGTGCAACCTGTGATTGAGGGCTGAGGTGCAAAAGGGATGGGAACGGAG